ATCACAGCCCAAATTTCCACCATGTTTCATACTAACTCTCCTGCAATCTGCACATGCGACCCATCAGGAGGCATGAAGAGATAGCTGTGCATGCTAAGGACTTTCCAGGCCTCCCTTTTCTTCCACCAATCACTAAATAATCTCAAAATCCATCCCCTAAGGCCTTTTTAATAAAAATTACTCCCTTAAAGCCAGCACAGAAAGATAAAATTGAGCTGGACTCCTGTCTCCTTGTTGGTTGACCTACAAAAAAAGCTTTTCTTTTCTCAAAAACCTGGTCGACAGCATTGCCTTCTACTGCATCAGGCAGTGAGCCCTTTTGCTCGGAAACAGTATGGTTGAGCAAGTCCTCCTCTTCCACTTTAATTTTAGTTTTCCATTAATTTTCTAGTTTTTCTGGGAGGATTGCTTGAGCCTGGGAGGTCGAGGCTGCAATCAGCCATGATCATGCCACTGCACTCCAAGCCTGGGTGACATAAAAGTACCATTTACTTTTCTGAGACAAACATCAAAATCAAGCTTTCAAGTTTTAAAAAAAAAAACCTGCTGGGATTCTGACCAAAAGTATATTAAATACACACATTAATTTAGGGAAAACTGACATTTTTATAATGCTGAGTTTTGCCCAGAAAAAATCACGTGTCTCCATTTATTCAAGACTTCTGGGAAAGTTTACAGTTTTCTTTACAAATACTTTGTACATTTTTACTTACTCCCTAATTCATTCCATAGCTTTTCATTTCTCCTTTATATATCCCATGTCTTGATTACCACAGGGAATTTCAGTGTTCTGGGCGACCAACTACGTTTTATTTCCTAATTCATTTAGTGGTAGGTGATAGCCAATAATGCAGCTCACCTAGAACTATTTTTTCAATGACTTATTTACAAGACCATGAAATGGCTCCTTTTCACAGCAGTCTGTTAAGACTTTTGATGATCTCTGATGGCTCACACATCCTTTATCTCTTAAGGTTCGGAATACACTCTTATGTTCTTTGCACAACTTTAAAGTTCCCTTCCCTATCTTAGAACCCTGCGACATGTTTTCTGGCTCATCTTTCTTGTTTGTACTGTCATTTTCGTTTGGAACATTATCTTACATGAGAGTTTCTTGTGCACTCAATTGTCCATTATGTGGTATCAGAATTATTGCCTCAACTACATACTACAGGATCAAATCTACAAGCCAAGTCTTTTATTAGCTGGAGGAGTTCTTACATGGTTACTATAACTCAAACCCCAATGCCTGTACTGCATAGGCCCATTTTGGTTTGTTTATTCCTCTTCTAGCCATCTGCAGGTCACCTGGCTTTATTCCCAATTTACCCCCATATGGATTCTCCCTCAACTCCTCGTACTCTAGGAATTCCACAATCAACTACACAACCCTGCCTTTTTGTTTTCATTCTATCCTATCTATTATTTCTATCTGGTCGAGTACATGGGTTAAGCCTGTGTCTTACCTATTTTTGTACAAACTAGCTAAAAATAGTTTTAGTATTTTTAAATGGTTCAAAAAAATAAAATTCAAACACATGAAAATTATTTGAAATTCTTATTTCAGTACCCATAAGTGAAGTTTTACTGGAACACAGCAATATTTATGCATCATCTAATGACCATTTTCATGCTTTACCAGCACAGTGGAGTGGTCGTGACTGAACCCATATGGGATGCAAAGCTTTAAATATTCAACAGCCCTTTGTAGAGAAGACATTTGTCGACTCACACTCTAAAAATTTTCCACATATAGTCACTGTGCATTTAAAATGTGACTAGTTTGAGATCAGCTATATTCAAAGCTGACTTGAGATCAGCTATATTTCAAAAACAATATGAAGAAAAGAATGCAAAAATTCTCATCAGTAAGTTCCATACTGATTATATTTTGCAATATTTTGGATACGAGCTAAATAAAATATTCAAATTAATTTCATCTATTTTTAATTTTTAAAAATGCGATTACTAAATAACTGCAAATTATATGGTACATATTATACATTTTTCTATTGACTAGTCCTTTTCTAAATGAGCTACTGGCCAGCTAACAGGTGACCAGGCAAACCTGGATCAAAAAGACTGTCAACAATGAATACGCTTAACTGTGGAATTGAGTTAAAATGTGGGGTCAATTTTGATAAATTATGCTTTCTAGGTTTTCAAATTTATTTATATTAGGTTTTACACACAAAAAAGTTCTGCCACATCTTTAAAGATTACTTGTCCAATATTATTAAAATACTCTAAGGCATTAAAATAAAAGAGAAATAGCTGGGCTGGGTGCAGTGGCTCATGTCTATAATCTCAGCACTTTGGGAGGCCAAGTCAGTGGATTACTTGAACCCAGGAGTTTGAGACCAGCCTGGGCAATAGGGTGAATCCCCATCTCTACAAAAAATGCACCAGGCATCGTTGGTCCAGCCTATAGTCCCAAGCTACCTTGGAGGCTGAGATGAAAGGACTGCTTCGGCCTAGGAAGTTGAGGCTGTACCACTGCACTCCAGTCTGGGTGACAGTAAGACGCTGTGTTGGGCCGGGTGGGGGAGAAAGACCTATCTAAAATTATTTTTGTGAAGCAAGAATGCTGACACCAAAAAATGTGAAAAACCTGCAAATACAGAGACTAATTTCAGCTAACTATATAGATGCAAAAATCCTAAATGAAATACTAGCAAATTAAAAGGGTAATGTTAAAAGAAATAATAATTGTTATATACAAGTCTTTTTATTCCAAGAATGGGAAGATGATTCAACTATTTTAAATTATCATTCATGAAATCTGATATATGGTACTTGAGTTTTCATAGATAATACTTTAAAGCTACAATGAAAGACAGGAAGAAAGTCATTTACGATAACAAAACATAAAATAAACTTAAAATATGCAAACCCACGTAAGAAAAATTTTAAAGTACTCAAATGATACTATAGTAAACTTGAACAAAAATAAAGACACATCATGCCCTGGACAAGAATACTTGATGTCAGCAGGGCACGGTGGCTTACGCCTCTAATCCCAGCACTTTAGGAGGTTGAGGTGGGTGGATCACTTGAGCTCAGGACCAGCGTGGGCAACATGGTGAAACCCTGTCTCTACAAAAAATTAGCCAGGTGTGGTGGCGTGCGCCTGTGGTCCCAGCTACTCGGGAGGCTGAGGTGAAAGGATCACTTGAGCCCAGAAGGCAACAGTTGCAGTGAGCCAAGACTGCACCACTGCACTCCAGGCTGGGTGAAACAGTGAGACCCCTTGTCAAAAAAACAAGAACAACAACGACAACAAAAGCTGATGCTTGATGTCATAAAGATGTCAAATTTCCCTAAGTAAATTACAAAATTTAACCCTATCTTCTGGAAGTAGATAAGCTAATTTTGAAGTTCATACAAAAAAGCAAATAAGCAAGAACCAAAAACTTAAAACTCCAAAAAAAGAAGAGTAATAGATGTTTAGCCTACCAAATATTATAAAATAAAGCCTCAAGAAATAAAAACTGTTGTGCTATCCATGAATAGACAGGAATCAGTACATTTCTAACATAAGAGGACAAATGAGGGATAAAGGGGGTGGGGAAAAAAAGAGGAAAGAGAGAGGGAAAAAGAGGAATGAAACAGGGCCAGAGTACATGCTATAATTGGCACTCATATATATATGTGGACTTGTTTTTGTTTTTTGAGCGGAGTCTATCTCTGTCACCTAGGCTGGAATGCAGTGGTGCAATCTTGGTTCACTGCAGCCTCTGCCTCCCAAGTTCAAGCAATTCTCCTGCCTCAGACACCCAAGTAGCCGGGATTACAGACTCCCACTGCCATGCCCAGCAAATTTTTCTAATTTTGCAGAGACAGGGTTTTACCACGTTGGCCAGGCTGGTCTCGAACTCCTGACCTCAGGCGATCCACCTGCGTCGGCCTCCCAAAGTGCTGGGATTAAAGGAGGGCACCACCGTGCAGCCTGACATTTTTGATGAAAACAAAAAATAGGCCAGACATGGCGACTCACACCTGCAATCCCAGCACTTTGAGAGGCCAAGGGAGGGGGTTGATCACCTGAGATCAGGAGTTCGAGACCAGCCTGGCCAACATGGTAAAATCCCCGTCTCCACTAAAAATACAAACATTAGCCAGGTGTAGTGGCAGGCACCTGTGATCCCAGCTACTCAGAAGGCTGAGGCAGGAGAATCTCTTGAACCCAGGAGGTGGAGGCTGCAGTGAGCCAAGACGGCGCCACTGTATTCCAGCCTGGGTGAGAGTGAGACTCTGTCTCCAAAACAAACAAACAAACAAAAAAAACCGAAAAATAAAAATTAGGGCTTACGAAGACTTACTGCACTAACATGGAACAATATGACATTAAGGAAAGAGAACCCCCTTCCACAGACTGATGTTGAATAGTATTCATACAAACTTACCCAAAATCAGACCGGCTTTTATAAAAATGGTTACACAAATCTACACGTGATAAACAATATCATATTACTGTTTTTGATACTGTACTATAATTATTTAAGTGTAGCCATTAGGGGAAACTGGGTAAAGGGTATAGGGAAATTATTCCCATATTATTACTGTGGGAGGTAGAGGGGAGACCCAGTACAGACAACATAATGTACCAAGCTTAAATACTACCAGATTAAAAGTCAAAGACCAAATAACTTCGTGGAAAAAAAAATTTTACGAAAAAATTTAAATGAACATACTAACTTGATAATGGACACAAATAACTAAATTTGAATTTCCAGGTGTTTGACTTTCTCAACTTCACACTGGAGAAAAACTTACGTGATGACAACTTTTATAAAATTACAGATTTTTATTTAATTTAACTAGTGATGCAAATAATAATCAGAGACAATTCCCTAGTTAATGAATACCTTTGTCATACAACCTATTACTTGTTGATCTCACATGTTTCAAAAAGTAACAAAACCTCACCAATCAGTAAATGAGAAGTGAAACATCCTAGATATTTTAACAAGACTTTGGTCAAAATGACAAAGACTCACCTATATGTGGCTGCTGAGCTGCTGCTAATGCATATTGCTGCTGTTGAGCTGCAGTTAACTGCTGAACTGTTAGTGCATTAGTTCTCTGAAAGAGCTATTAGGGAAAATATTTAACACAAAGATTAGTGTCAAAATCTTTCATTTCTAATTAGAAATCTGAATAAAACATTTTAAACTTTTTTTTTTTGGGGGGGGAGCACTTTTTCAAATACAAGGACACTTTAATCAATAAAACATTTAGTACTCAAACACTCCTACCATTCTTTCAATGCCACATAGCACTTCAGGCTAAACCAGTATATAACTAAGAGGACCTTCTTAAAGAAAGAGCATGCTTTTACCTGCTGCTGGGAATTGTAGTCAAAAAGGCCTACAGTAGCTCCTGAAGAGTCCATTGGTACCTGATTACCAGGATAGTCAAACTGTAAGGATTCCAGACCAACTTGTTCCATGGCATCCAGATTCTGAGTTTCAGGATTTGAAAATTCTTCAACAAGTGGTTTATTAGCTGTAGGATTAGGAAGAGGCCCCAGTCCTTCTGAGGGATTAGTATTGGGGCCCAAGCGCTCAACTACTTCAGTTGGAGAGGCTTGACGACTTCCAGGAGTACGACTACATAAAGAAAATAGAAAAGCCTTATAAATAAAAGTAACAAGTCAAATGGTGAAATGGGAAAATAGAAAAATCATGAAGAACAAATGGTTATAAAATACAGTGAATAAGGCATTCTGGGTCACTATGCCATCTTATTGCATTTTTTTCTATTTAATATAACTTTCCTCTTAAGAGCTGGCATGATTTGAGGATTTTAAAAATATTATTAATGATTACTCTCTTCAATCTGAATAACATAAAGATATAACGCAATTTTACAGATTAGAAAAACTGGCCAGTATCACAACTTAGACTTACACTACCTGAAATCTCTGTCTCAAGTCATAGTCACAAAGAACAGTGTATAAACAGCAGATTATTAAGTGGCAAATACGAAAAAGCTCAAAACCAAAACCTACTTACCATACTGCTGTCCTGCCCCGCCAACACATAATTTTGCCATAACATCCTGCTTAATAATACTTAAGAAAAAAATTTGGCCATAAGAGATCATTATGGTCTTCATTATTTAAGGGGCCAAAATGTGGGATGCAACAGGAAAAGGGTACCATACATGGTAAGTCAAAAGGCTGACTCCTGACTTTGTCTTTTAAATATGATCTTGAGCAAGCCATGTCATCTTTCAAGCAGCAGTTTTCTTACTTAAGAGATGACCTTTTGATTCCAACTAATAAGAACAAAAGAAACTATTTGTGAAAGTCCTCTATGAAAGCCCTCTAAAGACAATGTTTATTATACCAAATAGTTCAGCTGAAACCATCAGAAAGATATGGAAATGTATGACATTTATCAAAAATTAAGTATACACAGCAAGAAAAGGATCTTTCTACATAAAAAATAGAAAAAGGGACCTTACTACTATATGGCCTCCTTAATTTTCACAAGGAATTAATTAACACTGGATTAAATTTTAAGTACTGGCTTCTCTTTTTACTAACCACCTTCATGGTCTAAACTTACATTTCTAGCTCATGACCAATCCTCATTCATAGCTTATCTTATACATAAATATTTTATATAGGATCCTTTCCTTTGTAAGAAAGAGTTTATTGTTCAGAGTAACTATGCATTCAACAGGATATTCAAGCATGAGTACATTAAGTAAATGGCACTGTTCTACCTGGCTTTTAATGCCAGTTGCTACATCTATCTAACTCTTCCCAACTTCAGGTGGTCTGGATTGGAATAAATTTGCTAACATATAGTTTACAAAGCAATTTCTTGATTACAAGAATTGTTCTCTATAGGTATGTAAGCAAACTTAACATTTCATTTAAACATCAACCATTTTGTCCTTGCAAAATCAGAAGATTTCAAACTCCTTTCCCTTTAAACCACACCTAATTTTGTATGTGAACATTCCAAAGGCTCATTTTTCATTTGGAACATATGGAAAGAAAAAACTAAAAGGATTTTCTTTAAAATCAGCCAATTTTTCTTTAAAAAAGTAAGTGTCCAATAGTTATATTATTGATTTCTGTTATACTCCAACAATGTACATATTGATGACATATCAGTTAATGTAGAAATTAATGATGTGCTGGCATAGTGACCATATGACCACAGCTGTTGATTGTGTTAATACATTTTAACACTGTCAAGTAATAACTAATACTGTATCTAAAATAATTAGTAATTTAAAACACATATCTAAAACTTAATGGAATAAAATTAGAATGCTAATAAATGTAAAATCCACATTAATATTTCAGGGGAGAAGTATAACCTCTCACACAAAGTAACTCATATAAAACAAAAATAAAGGACATTATGAAAAAAAGTAATGCTATCAGTGGTGCTATTTTCTTGCTATAGTTAATGGTGTATTAACACTTCAATTATAAATGTATACTCTGAAGGGTTTATCATCAACTGAATTTTAAATGCATTTCCTTAACTAAAACTTAGATTAGGTAATAGTGAAGAACAAACTCAGAATAAAGTTCTAAATCTGAATAACATTAAATGTATTTCTTGTCAAAAGAGGTTTACTGGTTTTGGATGCTTTTTTGCACTCAGAACAGATAGAAATGGCACTGTTTTTAAGAAGCATTGTTACTTTGCTTTTGATAATAAAAGGCAATAAATGTAAAAGAATACCACCCACCATATACCTAATACTCTTTTATGTAAGATTCCACGGTCAGAGGACCTCAAAGAAACAGCTCATTTTCAGATACAGGCTCCAAAGCACCTCATTATTGAAATATTACAGAAAATCAATACAAAGAAACAACTCCCTAATATGTAGATAAAGGTACACTGTCTAATCTAAGACCAAAGGCTAAAGTACTTATTTAACTGCCATAAAAAGACAATAAAAAGCTACATAAAAAGACAACAAAAAGCTATAATATAAAAAATTATGAGCTTAAAGCTAACTTTTAAAAGTTTCTAATATGCTCCCCACTTGCGATTTGCAGGAATAATCTTAAGTACTAGCACAAACTCATATATTGTAAGAAAGATTACTACTCCTAAGATAATTTTGTCTCCTCTTTTCTAAGATTAAAAGTTAAATGGGAGGCAGGGCATAAATACTCAGAAGGAAGAAAACTCCACTGAAAGGTGCTCAAAAGCACTCCCAAGAGGGAAAAAAAAATCAGAGTAAACCTACACTTCACTAAAATTTAACAGAAAGGAAAAAGTTCAAATTTGGACTATTATATTAACAGAAAAGTAAGTGCAGCTTCTAACATTACTCCTTCAACAGAATGCACTGTTTCAGAGGCTGGTTTGAAGATTATTTTTTTTAAATGGTTCATAATCACAAATTTTCTTTATAGTAAAAAAATAAAATTTGTCCAGATTAACACAAAGTTCAAAGGAAATAAACCTAAATGATGAAAATGTCTAAATCAGTCACATCAACTAATAGTAGTAATCCCTAAAAAGATACGCTTTTCTTCTTGAGAAAGTTAAAATCTTACTTAAAATCTTTGCAATCGGCATCCATTCCATTTGGCAAACCTCTGCCATTTATTTTAGAATCATCATCATCTCCTTGTTTAAGATCTCTGTTTTGGTCCTCCTCAAATGGAGAAGCCTTGCCTTTTTGATCTCCTTTCTCAGGTCCATCTGTTTCAGCATCTCTAGTGCCCTGAGGAAAAAGAATCTGTTTGATTCTGAATATTTAATAGAACACAAAAATAAAAGGCACCATAAGGTGACCTAACACTACACTACAGTGCATGTAAACAATAAAAGCATTGAATCTTATTTAATTTAGTAGTCAATTAATTCATCAAAGGCCCAAAAATTGAGTACAAACTAGTTATTTATAACAGAAGGGCTAAGGCAACCTTAACTATAGCGGTGCTGGAAAAGCAGTTAACACCACAAACTAGATTAAAATAATGCGTAGAAGATTTTGTTTAGCTACTTTCACATCAAGCACTACCAGGAATAAGCAATTTTAATTTTGCAGATTATGTTTTAAAATTAGTATGAGTTGACTTCTGTAACATGGTTCAAATCATACATATTTCCAATGGTTCTATCATTTCACCTTCTTCAAGTGGCTAAGCAGAAAAATAGCAATAATAGTTACAAAATTTCCCTTAGCTATAGGAAGGGCACAGAAAAATAAACTGAATTAAAAATAAAAAGTAATGTAACCAAATAACTCTCAAGCAAATATTAAATATTTCTTTATTCAAAATACTTACAAAATTTCCCTTCCTAAATCGAGAATCCAATTTATCAGCAGGAGAAGAACTTAATACATATTCTACCATGCTCACACCAAGGCCTCCACTTTCTGATCGCGGAGACAGTATTGCATTTACTTCACTGTTTCCATGAAAACCCTGTCCAGATCTTCTCTGTACCATAATAGGCTGGGACATTGAATGGTCTGTTTGGAAGAAAAAATACAATTACATACATGTACTTTTAAGTTAAACAAAATGTAGTTACACAAATTAATATACTGAAGAAAAATCAGCACATTGCTTTATTTTCAATGTTATTACTATAATCTTTAAAGTTCTTCATAGGACACAAACAAAAGAAAGAACATTCCATGCTCATGGCTAGGAAGAATCAGTATTGTGAAAATGGCCACACTACCCAAGGTAATTTATAGATTCAATGCTATCCCCATCAAGCTACCACTGACTTTCTTCATAAAATTAGATAAAACTACTTTAAATTTCATATGAAACCATAAAAGAGCCCATACAGCCAAGACAATCCTAAGCAAAAAGAACAAAGCTGGAGGCATCACGCTACCTGACTTCAAACTATACTACAAGGCTACAGTAACCAAAACAGCACGGTACTGGTACCAAAACAGATATATAGACCAATGGAACAGAACAGAGGCCTCAAAAATAACACATCTATAGCCATCTGATCTTTGACAAATCTGACAAAAACAAGAAATGGGGGAAGGATTCCCTATTTAATAAATGGTGCTAGGAAAATTGGCTAGCCATATGTAGAAAGCTGAAACTGGATCCCTTCCTTACAACTTATACAAAAATTAACTCAAGATGGATTAAAGACTTACATGTAAGACCTAAAACCATAAAAACCCCAAAAGAAAACCTAGGCAATACCATTCAGGACGTAGGCATGGGCAAAGACTTCATGACTAAAACACCAAAAGCAATGGCAACAAAAGCCAAAATTGGCAAATGGGATCTAATTAAACTAACGAGCTTCTGCACAGCAAAATAAACTATCATCTGAGTGAACAGGCAGCCAACAGAATGGGGGAAAATTTTTGCAATCTATCCATTCAACAAAGGGCTAATACCCAGAATCTACAAAGAACTTAAATAAATTTGAAAGAAAAAAACACCCCATCAAAAAGTGGGTGAAAGATATAATCAGATACTTCTCAAAAGAAGACATTTATGCAGCCAACAGATATATGAAAAAATGCTCATCACCACTGGTTATCAGAGAAATGCAAATCAAAACAACAATGAGAAACCATCTCACGCAAGTTAGAATGGCGAGCACTAAAAAGTCAGTAAACAACAGATGGTGGAGAGGATATGGAGAAATAGGAACGCTTTTACACTGTTGGTGGCAGTGTAAATGAGTTCAACCATTGTGGAAGACAGTGTGGCTATTCCTCAAGGATCTAGAACCAGAAATATCATTTGACTCGGTAATCTCATTACTGGGTATATACCCAAAGGATTACAAATCATGCTATTATAAAAACACATGCACATATATGTTTATTGCAGCAACCCAAATGTCCATGAATAATAGGCTGGATAAAGAAAACGTGGCACACAGACACCATGGAATACTATGCAGCCACAAAAAAGGATGAGTTGATGTCCTTTGCAGGGACATGGATGAAGCTGGAAACCATCATTCTCAGCAAAATATCACAAGGACAGAAAACCCAACACTGCATGTTCTCATTCGTAAGTAGGAGTTGAACAATGAGAACACATGGACCCAGGGAGGGGAACATCACACACCTGGGCCTGTTGGGGGTTGCGGGGCTGGAGGAGGGATAGCGTTAGAAGAAATACCTAATGTAAATGACGAGTTGATGGGTGCAGCAAACCAACATGGCACATGTATACCTATGTAATAAACCTGTGCTTTGTGCACATGTACCCTAGAACTTAAAGTATAATAATAATAAAAAAAAGATAAAAAATAAATAAAAAGCTCTCCATCTGGTTGAGACTAACTGGCTGGAGCACATATCTTGAAAATACAGATGGAAAGAGCCATTTGGCAATAAACAGATAAAAACCTATATTAAGAACAGTACAACCAAAAAGGTCAATGAAGGTAGACATAGTACCCAAAGGATACTACCTGAAGGATCAGTTGCTTATAAACATCATTTAAAAAAGTTAACCTTCTTTTGACAATTTATAACGATTCATAACATAAACCTTCAGGGATAAAACCTAGAAGAGGCTGGACAGCAGGGGCTCATACCTGTTATCCCAGCACTTCGGGAAGCTGAGGAGGATCACTTGAGCAGAGGAGTTTAAGACTAGCATGGGAAACATGGTGAGTTCCCATCTCTACCAAAAGTTTAAAAATTAGCCAAGCATGGCAGCACAGGTCTGTAGTCCCAGCTACTCAGGAGCTGAGAGCTGAGGTGGGAAGATTACTTGAACCCAGGAGGTTGAGGCTGCAGTGAGCCATGTTCACACCACTGCACTCCGCTCTGGGTGACAGAGTGAGATTCTGTCTCAAAAAAAAAAAAAAAAAAAAATTGCCAGAGGCAGTCACTCACTCCTGTAATCAGTACTTTGGGAGACTGAGGCAGGTGGACTGCTTGAGCTCAGGAGTTCCACCTGCTTGAGCTCAGGAGTTCAAGACCAGCCTGGACAAAAAGGCGAAACCCCATCTCTACTGAGAATACAAAAATTAGCTGGACATGGTGACATGCACTTAATAGTCCTAGCTACTAAGGAGGCTGATGAGGTGAAAGGATCGCCTGAGCCAGGGAGGTCAAGGCTTTGGTGGGCCTTGATTGTGCCACTGCACTCCAGCCTGGGTGACACAGGAGACTCTGCTCCTCACTGCAAATAAACAAATTAAAATAATAAAATAAAATAAACTTTCAATTTGGCAGAAACACTTCTCAAGTTCACAGTTATGCACTGGATAGAACAGAACTCATGACTGTAACGCTATAATCACAAATGAGTAAGTCCGGAAAAATCAGTAATACTACAGAATTTTCTATTCTTGGTTTAAAAAAAACTAAATTATCTTCTAGCTTAAAAGTTTTCCATTTATTTTAAAACAAAATTATTCATTTGATATATTTTTTTCTCCATACTTTTGGAATGAAAAGTAAAGGTAGTATTTAAGATCTGAGAGTTAATGGAATACAAATACAGTAACACATTTGAGGCAACATTCAAACAGTTTTTGCTGGAAACTTTTTTGAAAGAACCCATAAGCTACCAGCTACCTCTGGATTGTTTGTGACAGGTATAATACTCAATATTTAAACTATTGAGGCTGAAATTTCATACTGGTAGCCAGTCATCACTTTATTAACTGTAATAATTTTGAAATGATTGCCATGTTTCTTAAACCAAATCAAAACATTTCCATTTCAGTATCTGCATCCATAAAAGATTAGTCATTATATCCTCTCTTTCAATCATTCATCCATTCATTATACAGTTGAAACATTGATTCATTCTCTTGTATGCTAAGCAATGACCTATATCTGAGGAATCCGAGAACAAAACCGTCTGTTCTCAAGAGTATAGGTTTAATAAAAGGCAATTAGAATAGAATAAAAGAGTTTCAACCAAAATATAATCCATGACACCATGAGATCTGAAAGATGGGCATTCAAGTCCAACAGAGCTTAAAGTAAAAAGTAAAATTTAAGAAAAAAAAAAAAAAGCAAAAATAAGAAAGATGGGCATCAACCCTTCCAAGTCTTAGAATCAATGCCACCAAAGGAAGTGTGCTTCTTTTTTTTTTTTTTTTTTTGGTGGGAAGGTGCAGGGTCTTACTATATTGCCCAGCTGGTCTCAAACTCGTGGCCTCAAGCATCTGCCAGCCTTGATCTCCTAAAGTGCTGTAATTACAGATGGAAGTGATATTTCAGCTGATAATGAAGGGTTAAAAAAAGGTAACCAATGGGGAGGTGGGAGTGACAGGACATTTCAGTTACAGAAACCAGAAAGTTCAAATGCCAAGAAGTGCTGGAGAACATAATGAACCTGATAATCACAAGTAATGTGGTTCTGCTGAGAGGGAGTATGTCAAGTCTCCTGCAGTCACAGAAAGAGACTCTCTTAGAAAGACAATTCCTTGAGAACAAGAAGGTGTTATGCATATTTCTACGTGTCTGGCATTCAATAAATGTTCGCTAGGTAAACAAAATTCCATTCATTTCTAATTTTCTCATGGTTTCTAGTAAAAGACAAACACTCATCTTCAAAATGTTATGAGAGTTGGGAGAAGAGGGGCACAAAAAATTGAAATCATAAATTTCACGGTTTCCCTAACATCTATCTTCAAATAATCTCTCTTTGTCATGCTGTGCTCAGGATGCTTTGCTTTTCAACACCTCAAAAAATCTTTGGTTGGCTGGGCACAGTGGCTCATGCCTTTAATCACAGCACTTTGGGAGGCTAAGGCAGGCAGATTGTTTGAGCTCCTCAGGAGTTCGAGACCAGCCTCGGCAACATGGTGAAACCCCATCTCTACCAAAAATATAAAAATTAGCCAGCCTTATAAGCTGGTCTTAGGGAAAAAAAAGAAGATAAAAGATTTTAAAAATCTTTGGTTCTCATTCTGGTAAATAAGTTGTGCATTCAACTTTCAAATCATGTCCATCAACCAAGTTATTGAGCACACATGCTCTCAGCAAGAAATATGCCTTTTGTAGCAAAGATATATCCCAGTCCAAATTACTAAATATTTAAAATTATGAGTCTAACCTAATATAGGTTAATTCTAATTCAGAAAAATAAAGGACAAGGGACCCTTGAGGACAAGCGTCATATCATTTATCTTTATATTCTCCAAACCTGGCATATTATGCATCACATATTAGTTGAACTCAAAGGAAATTTACAATATTTTAAGAAAATTTCTGTCTAAATTACTTGTTGCCAACATTTGCAACCTACTTTGTTGAAATCACCACATTTTCCAGACCTTAACCTTTTAGATTTTAGCTTTTTGGCAATTATTTTAACAGTAATGAAATGAAACACCATATAAGAAGCATTAAATCTTCTAATATATTTTCATGATTTAGAGAATAAGAAAATATCTCGTGATTAATACTGAAAAAATAATGATAATTGGGTAATTATCATGCAAAAATTTGTTTTCATTATTACTTTGGTCATTCTGCAGAGCTTAAGCAAACTGTATTAACTTAAATAAAAAAAGGAAAATATTTGTAAAATACATGATCTAGCTGGACACCTCTCAGATTTTACTAACTGGAAACATTTTAAAATATAATCAGTAAAAAGATATGCTAACTACTTTAACACAACTATGGGCCGAACAAGGTGGCTCACGCCTGAGGCAGGAGGATCACTTGAAGGCAGAAGTTCCGAGACCAGCCTGGGCAACATAGTGAGACCCCATCTCTTAAAAAAAAAAAAAAAAGTCTTAAAAACTAGCCAGACCTGGCCAGGCATGATGGCTCATGCCCTAATCCCAGCACTTTGGGAGGCTGAGGCGGGCAGATCACCTGAGGTAAGATTTCAAGACCAGCCTGGCCAACATGGTGAAACCCCGTCTCTACTAAAAATACGAAAATTAGCAGGGTGTGGTGGCAGGCACCTATTATCCCAGCTACTCAGGAGGCTGAGGCAGGAGAATCACTTGAACCTGGGAGGCGGAGTTTGCAGTGAGCCAAGATTGGGCCACTGCACTCCAGCCTGGGCGACAGAACAAGACTTCGTCTCAGGGAAAAAAAAATAAAGAAAAATTAGCCAGATGTGATGGTGTGAGCCTGTAGTCCTAGCTACTCGGGAGGAGGACGTGGAAGGATCTTTTTGGCCCAAAAGTTTGAGACAGCAGCGAGCTAAGATCGTGCCACTGCACACCAGCCTAGGCAACAGAGCAACACCCTCTTAAAAAGAAAAAAAAGCATTTAACTATGATCTTTAATTTGCCAACACTGTCACTCCTGCATGTTATACTCCTTATACACCAGCTAATTTTCCCTTAACAGTTTCTTAGACCTAAGCCTCTCCCCATTACTTATGAAGTCGAAATCAAAACATTTAAAGATCTGCTCCCTTTCTGGGAGCTCTATCTTACCAAGACAGTCTACTACTTCCTTCCTGGGTGTGGCAGATATCTAATAAAGCTAGGCTGACCTGCAATTAAATAAATCAGTCACGATCATCTAGCACAAATTAAGACTAAAAATTTCTATGGTTAATCTATCCTCCATTTTAAATGAAAATTCAGAATTTTATTATTTTTAAACTTTTATTCTAGATTCGGGGGGGTACATGTGCAGGTTTGTTATATAGGTAAATTCATGTCACAGGGGTTTGGTGTACAGATTATTTCATTACTCAGGTACTAAAAATAGTACCTGACAGGTATTTTTTCTGATCCTCTCCCTCCATCCTCTACTCTCAAGGAGGCCTCCATGTCTGTTTTCTCCTCTTTGTGTCCCTGTGTTCTTGTTATTTAGCTCCCATCTAATAAGTGAGAACAAGCGGTATTTGATTTTCTGTTCCTTCGTTAGTTTGCTAAAGGTAATGGTCTCCAGCCCCATCCATGTTGCTGCAAAGGACATTATCTCACAACTTTTTTTCATGGCTGCGTAGTGTTTCATGGTGCATATGTACCAGATTTTCTTTATCCAGCCTACTGTTGATGGCCATTTAGATTTTTCCATGGTTCTGCTATTATGGAATAGTGCTGCTACGAACATACACGTGTGTGTCTTATGGTAGCACAATTTATATTCCTTGGGGTATATACCCAAAAATGGGATTGCTGAATTGAATAATTTTGTTTTCACTTCTCTGAGGAATTGACACAATGCTTTCCACAATGGCTGAACTAATTTACATTCCCACTACTAGTGTATAAGTGGTCCTTTTTCACCACAACCTCACGAGCATCTTGTTTTTTAATAGCCACAGAATTTTACGATCAATTAAAAAAAAAACCCTTAATAAAATCTTACTGTGACAAATACTTCTAAAATTACATTTCTTAGCTGCCATTAAGAAAATGTGCATAAGGCTGGGTGTGGTGGCTCACGCCTATAATCTCAGCACTTTGGGAGGCCAAGGCAGGAGAATTTCATGAGCCCAGTTATTTGAGACCAGCCTGGGCAACACAGCGAAACTCTACAAAAATGCAAAAATTTGGAGACTCTGTCTGGGAAAAAAAAAAAAAAAAGGTGCATATGACTTATAAAATGCTAAATATATTCATAATTCATATACCAGTAACTTACGAGAAGTTCCCCATGCAGTCTCTCTCCATTCATCATCCCCAAGAAATATGCCTTTTTGTCCATCTTTTGTTGAATCATCAGGTTCCCAAAACTTTTTGGTAGGCAAAAGCTATTTGGAGGAAAAATTACAGTTATTCTAATTACAAAGAATTAACATATAAGAAGTCTCAAACATATCAATTCTATGGATACATTAGTTTTCAATGCTAATGAAAATTCAGAATGACCTATTTTCTAAGTTGTTTTGTTAACAGTAAATTAACTCCCCACTTATTTTTGTGTGCTGGTGTTAGTAATTCTAGACCTTAAACAAAAATCAAAATCTACTTCTGACTTTTCTTCACTTTCCATACACTTTTATTACAATGTAAATTTATTAAAAAGGCTTATTAAATTTCTTACTCAATAACAGATTTAATAATCACATCCATAGGAATGATTAAACTTTTTCCTTCACTTCCACATCTTCTCCCTAGACCACCTCCTATCATATCTTCCAGAATAGAAAATATTTTTTCATTCTTAACTCAGTTATTCAATGGAAGTGAATTTCACACCTCTTACTAGCTGCTGAGTACTATCTGTCAATCCCATAACAAAACGCTATGGATGGTAGAAAACATGCATAGAAAAGAAACAATCTCAAGGCCCTGTGCTCTATCCAATACAGTGACATGCATAGCACATAAAAATTGTGTTGCTACATTCATTCATTATTCAAAATGAACATTTTGGGCAATTCTTATTCTTTACTATTCATCCATATCTCCCTACTGTCCCTGACGCTTAGGAGGTGGCCAACTTGGATATGTTTGTTTGAAAAGAACACACTGGTTTTCTGAGAAGTGCACTTAGCATTTTAAAGCAGCATTCATAAGACACCATCACTCTCAACCCTTAATTAGGTGCCCAGTCTTTTCAGTGCTAACAATAAAACCTGTGTATACTTCTATTAAACTTATCACACTCAATTACCTGTATGTTTACCTCTTAAGGGCACGGTCTGCTCATCTTCAGAGAGCTTACAAACATATAAACTTAGAACTCGGTAATACCTGAAATAGGTCTAAGATAAGATGTGTGTGTTTGTGTGTGTGACATAGTAAACCATCAATAAAGGCAAAACTTGAGAAAATGCACAGTGTGTAGAATAGGGTGTAAGATGAAACATGTGGCAAGGTCAAAAGTTGATGCTAGCAAAGCTAACAGATGCCGGCAGATCAGATTATGAGGACCCTTAAAGACATGCTAAGGAAGTTAGATGTTCTACTGAAGCAACAGGGAACAGAGAAGAGTTAGCAAGGGTAACACTAGGTATTACAAAAAACTCAAGTTGTAAGTTTTAAGAATAACAAATAGAACAAGGAGATCAATTTTGGCAATTTATAATAAGAGGGCCAAGAGAGCAAGAACTAAAAGAGGGTACTGGGTCAGACACAGTGGCTCACACCTGTAATCTCAGCACTTTGGGAGGCCTAAGCAGGTGGATCACGAGGTCAGGAGTTCAAGACCAGCCTGGCCAAAATGGTGAAACCCTGTCTCTACTAAAAATACAAAAATTAGCCGGGAGTGTTGGCCGGCACCTGTAATCCCGGCTACTCGGGAGGCTGAGGCAGAGAAGTGCTTGAACCCGGGAGGCAGAGGCTGCGCCACTGCACTCCAGCCTGGGTGACAGAGTAAGATTCTGTCTCAAAAAACAAACAAAAAAGAGGGTACTGGCAGAGAAAGCTGAGAAAATAAAATGGATCTGACAGACACCTTGGAGTCAAAAGGATCCGAATACAAACGGTGGGGAAGGTAAGTAAAAAGAATAACCTGTTTAATAACTTAAACAGGTAAAAAGGTAAATGGCAGTGCTATTGACCAAAATAGGAAAACAACAACAAACCAGGAGAAGCAGCTTTAAAGAGAAGAGAAAATATCCAATGTGGGCATGTTCCTGAACTACAGATTTTTTGCTCAACTAAATTAAACTTAAAGTTTTAATTTAAAAATGTTAATTAAAATGTTTAATGTAAATGTTTTAATTAAAAAAAAAAAAGAACTCCATTTTTTAAAAAAAGTTTTTAAATGCTAGGATGGCCCTGGGCTGTAAATGATTTGAATTTATGAAGAGCAGACATTTTAAACAAAAATCTGCTCTAATAAAGATCCCAGTAAGTAAACTATAACCTCTATTCCTTCTATTTTAAAAATCTCACCATAAAAGATTCACGTAAATATTCAACAAAACATAAACCTAATAATATGAATACTAAAGCACGATACTTGATGTATTTAAATAACTGAACATTCATAGTTAAAACCCAAGTTAATCCCTTAAAAATACTGTATAAATAAGCCATTCCAAGCAGATGAAAATAATTCCTGAAAGAATAAAGCAATGCTTTTATCCCATACTTCATGAAGAAAAATGTCTCAGTATCAAAATAAGAATAACAAATAAGTAATCTAAAATAAAGTTGTAACAACTAATAAAGCATTTATCCCAGACACAGAAGTGGCTAAAACAGACTAATCTTATGAGGTAGTAAAAGTAACAGCATCCCTTTGAGACGATTCTAAAGTCTTTTGGGATTAAAGTTCTGGGAGTTCTTTCACAGATCACTGTTTTAAAAATGCAAACTGCAGTGCGCACCTGTAGTCCCAGCTACTCAGGAGGCTAAGGCAAGAGAATCGATTGAACCTGGGAGGCTGAGGTTGCAGTGAGCTGAGATTGTGCCACTGCACTCCAGCCTGGCGACAGAGCGAGATTCCGTCTCAAAAAAAAAAAAGGCAAATTGCATACCTAGGCGGGGAGGGGGAGAAGTAGGGAGTCTGTAAACCACTTACCAAGTGTGTCTACCATGGCCAAGCACTATACTATGAGTACGTTCATTTTCAAACATTTAGTAAGTTTTTACGGACAGGAAAATTTAATAGTTGAAATTAACACTCTACCAAAGGCCTTCACTGATATTCTAAAAACTATTTGCTCTGACAGTTAAGATACTGATTCAAATACTTTTAGGGGATCTACTAGCCGGTGACTAAGAACAGGTTAAATGAACTACATGTAGGGGAAGGCAACAATTCAGAATAGAACAGTTAAAGAGGGGGAAAAAAAGGTTAAACAATGCATTGATTAGAAAAGCAATAAAAATAGGAGATTTGCCCCTGGAGAGTCTTTTACTGTAGTAGAAATAGCAACCATACAACATTACAGAAAACAAAATTAAGAAACGGTTAAGATCTATAAAATATGTTATCCAATACCACTTCATATTAGTTCCCTACTTCACAAATTCTAAAGGAAGGTCAGGCAACTCAGTGTTTCTTATCAATCTGCTCTTCTATCCTAACTCCAATGTTTGAGTGAATATACAGTGTCTTTTTCTTCAAAAGTATGTATGGCTTGCTTTCTCCATTTCCAAAGAAATCAATCAGCACCCAGGCATACTGCATCAAAAACAAAACAAAACAAAACAAAAATCAAACTCCCACTCGGGCATTTACATAAGTACACCTATACCTCAGACTTTTTAAATTGTTATGAAAAACCCTTAAACCAACCAAATAAACATAATCCCAAGACTTAAAAGGATTTAAAATGTAAATTATGTTTTAAATTATTTATATAACTTATCATCCCAAATGGGATATTTCTGCGAAAAGAGATGCTATTAATAATTATGCCATGAGAAGATACAGATCTGAGCTGTCCTGGGCAAATCAGAATGTAAAGTCACTCTAGTCACTCTACTTATAATGGAAGCTCAAAAGAGGTAAGAACAGATCCTCAAAACTAAGTTGTAGCAGGGAGCAGAGACTCATGCCTGTAATCCCAGCACTGTAGGAGATATGAAGATAATTTGAGCCCAGGAGCTAGAGAACAGCCTGGCCAACACTGTGAGACCCTGTCTCTTTTTAAAAATAAAATAATTATAAATAAATAAATATAAAATAAATTAGCCAGGTGTGGTGGCATGTACCTCTAGTCCCAGCTACTTAGGAGGCTGAGACAGGAGGACAGAATGAGCCTGGGAGGTTGACACTGCAGTGAGCTATAATTAGCTGAGGCAGGCAGACTGCTTGAGCTCAGGAGTTCGAGACCAGCCTAGGCAACATGGCAAAACTCTGTCTCTACAAAAAATATAAAAATTAGCCAGGCGTGGTGGCGTGCACCTGTAGTCCCAGATACCGGGGAGGCGGATATGGGAGGATCACTTGAGCCCAGGAGTCAGAGGTTGCAGTAAGTTGAGACGATGCCACTACACTCCAGCTTGGGCCACAGAGCAAGATCCTATCTCCAAAACAAAAAACAAACCAAACAAACAACAACAACAACAAATGGAACATAGAGAACATAGAGAACAAAACACAAAGTAACTCCATAGAACACAAAAATGGTGCTTTTCCAAACTTTAATCTTTTCTGTTAATAAAAGATATTAACATTTTTATTTTCTCAACTCATACCACTTCCCCAAATCCTTGGTATCAACAGCAAACATTACTAAATATCGTCACTTCCAACAGGAAGTAGTACTGTAAACACTCAAGACTTCTCTGAGTTCAAACTGCTCTTCAAGTACTATTATGTGGCCTTGGACTAGTTTTAATGAACCTTTTCTGAGCTTCAGTTTCCTCATCTGTAAACTGCTTAGAATGACATCTAGGGCCAGGTGCAGTGGCTCACGCCTGTAATCCTAGCACTTTGGGAGGCCAAGGCGGGCAGATCACGAGGTCAGGAGATTGAGACCACCCTGGCTAACACGATGAAACACTGTCTCTATTAAAAATACACAAAATTAGCCAGGCGTAGAGGCACGCGCTTGTAGTCCCAGCTACTCGGGAGGCTGAGGTAGAAGAATCACTTGAACCTGGGAGGTGGAGGTTGCAGTGAGCTGAGATCACGCCACTGCACTCCAGCCTAAGCAACAGAGCGAGACTCCATCTCCAAAAAAAAAGAATGACATGTAGTACATAGCAGACACATAAATATTAGGTATCTTCACTACCAACAGTATGAATTCTTTAATGTTATCAAACACAACTTAACTTACTGACACACAACATTCAACTGATTATTTCAAATATTATATTATTCACTATAACGATTTTGTCTATAGCTGTTTGACTTCTTTTCTCTTGAGTTGGTTTGACTACCCCAGGGGGATGATGAAAGCCCACTACTTAGAAAGAACAGTTTACTACTATAGTCACATTCTGCATAAGGAAAACTGACCAAGGTTACATACACAGCTGGCAAATGTTAACAATGGGATTTGAACCCATATCTATCTACTTAATTCTAAGGCCCTTCTCTTCATACTTAACTACCATAAAAGATAGTTCTTTTCAATTGTATTTTAATTCATCATGATTTCTGAAAATTTCCAGTATTATTCTACAGATATAGACTAGCAAAAAAAAAAGAAAAAAGAATCCAGTATTACATCACCACTGGGAATAAAAAAAAATAAAAAGGTTTAAAATATTATCATAATATTCTTCCTATTACAGTGGGTAAATTTTAAGATAGAATTGTTTAGAGATTATGTAGACAAACTATGATCAGCTATTTAAACACGATTTGAAATGGCTGGTTTCCATTCCAGTTATCCCTAAGAACTTAGATTAAAATAAGAGCATTTGAGAGATGTATGTGATTCATACAAAAGGTTATTTTTATTACTATTTTTAAAGTCAGTCAGTCTTACTCAAGGTCATAACACTAGTGAGAGATCTGAGAGAAAACACAAGTCTCCTTACTCGCCTACCTAGTAAGTCTTCAACTTCACCACACTACATAGAATCTTAGCACACAGGCTTTCTTTAATGCTTTCTTTATATATTAGTGTGTTGGAAAGACAGGAGAAAGCACTGTTTATCATACTAAGCTATAAAGACATTCTCAAAATAAAAGACATTAATTCAGTGATTTAAAGTTAGATTCTGGGAATATCAGACAGGGCCCTCTTTTCTGTTATTTAAAAAACAAGCAGAAACCCAGCTATATGTGCCCCCAACAACCTAGAGAAGCTAATAGTTATGAACCTATGAAGTGTGTCTGACTTTACACTAATAAAGCAGGGTTCAATCCCCTATAGATTAGTTTTTTTTTTTTTTTTTTTTTTTTTTTTTTGAGAGGGAGTCTGGCTGTGTCGCCCAGGCTGGAGTGCAGTGGCCGGATCTCAGCTCACTGCAAGCTCCGCCTCCTGGGTTTACGCCATTCTCCTGCCTCAGCCTCCCGAGTAGCTGGGACTACAGGCGCCCGCCACCTCGTCCGGCTAGTTTTTTTTTTTTGTATTTTTTAGTAGAGATGGGGTTTCACCGTGTTAGCCAGGATGGTCTTGATCTCCTGACCTCGTGATCCGCCCGTCTCGGCCTCCCAAAGTGCTGGGATTACAGGCTTGAGCCACCGCGCCCGGCCAGTTTTGCTCTTTTTAAGGCACATGACATAAAATGCAAATCAGTAGGTCTTTCAACAGAAACATAGTATCAGTGTAAAAACAGAGAGGGTAAGTTTACGAATAGGTGAATATAAATCTGCTCTTATTTCTGGATGCCTTCTGATGATGGCTCAGTAAAGACATCATGATCTATAAAACAGTAAATTTGAAATTAGTCCTATGTGTAGATGCAACACTTTGTACATTAGAGATTTACAAAACTTAAGACATAGTAAGCAAAAACTATTTTTAAAGAAAGTCAAGACGAGGGCAATCTATTTTAAAAAGAGTTTTGCATTAAAAAGAAAAAAGTATTTTTAGAAAACTCAAGAGCCAGAAACTCAAGGCTGCTTTTAATTTACTCCAATGAATGAATTCTGGGATATTAAAAAAACAAAAAAACCTCACCTGTCAGGAAAGGAGAAGAAGACTGGTGAGAGAGAGACAGGCAAAGAAGGAAATCCCAGAAGGTTCCCTGCTGCCTGTGAGATGAGGAAAGATAGAAAGGCTTGTGGGAGAGAGAACCCAGAGACAGAAATCTCAGTAGGTTTTTCTTAGCTATCTCTGAGGCGACAGTATTAGTGCTTAAACTGCTAAGAAATAAAACTAATGAGAACATCTTATTTTAAAAAATATTTTTACTGGATGAAGGTTACACAGATACGCTGACATGCTGCTATCCACCAGGTAGCAGGAAGTCTAAACCCTGGTCACTTTCACTCTGCATATCTGACATGTCCAATAAAAAGTCTGGATTTAAGCTTTTTTCTCTTAATGTGCCATTCAACCAAGCTACTCTTTTCTAAAAACCTCAGATATCCTTCCTCCATCCCCCAAATAACTAAACTCTTTCAACCACTGTTTCTGATTATGACATTTTTTTGCTCTGCAAAGCTAACTTTAGAATTACTAAATATTTAGAGAGTGAAAAAACACCAGTTTGAAAACATATACAATATACATCTAAGAAGTGATACAGGGAGTCTAAAATTAATGTAGGGGTACGATTCTCTTGTTCTTAAAGAATTATCGGCAAGTTCAAGTTTGTCACAGACAAGAAGGTTGAAGCACTGTTCAACCCTGCTTTTAACATATGTTATTCTGCTTTTTAAAGACCAAAGAAAACTAGTGGCCAGGAAAGAATAAAAGCTCTTTTCATCTGCCTCTTATTTGCCAATAGCATAAATAATGCCTAACCAGATATTGCACTGCAGTGAAGCTACAGATTTTGTTTAACAAAAAAAATCCAATTTCTTCAATTTTTCTTAGGGCTGAGAATTTTACCTTATGCACTGGTCTAACAAGTTTATTTTGGCAATACTTAAGCTTAAGCACCTTAACTCACCCTTAAATCAGTCCTTTGAAAATGACATACTCTTTGGAAAACGCTGTTCTGAAGAAGGGAAGGGTTAGCTAGCTGCAGGGTGCCCTCTTGTGGCCCAAAGGAGAGACTTGGACTCTTTTCTGCATCTGAAGAGCACAGCATTGGATGGAGTGAGTCTCATGAAGGTCTCTATTCTACCAAGGTAAAATAATCTCCAGGAGCAAGCAGTTAATTACACATCTTAGGTCTGTTCACTGTTATCTTCTATTATCAAAGTCTATGTTAGTAGTACAGAACATGACAAAATACAGATGTCACCACAAGAGTTTCCATAATCAAAGTTCTCTAAGTATTCATTAGCTATATAAAAAACTAAGTATTTGATGCCTTAAAATATGTAATGATGAGGTTAACTTTGGTGCCCCAAAGAAAAACACAGATTAACAAGAACGATAAAATCTATTAAGAAATGCAAAGTGTCTACTATGCTAGGCATTCAAAGCTAATAATTTATAGGGGAGACAAGTGTAAAACAAACTGTAACCAGCAATATAATAAAAGACTGTATAAAGAACTAGAAGTCAGATGAAGTGCTTAATTCTATGGCAGATAGCAACTAGACAATAGATACATCACAGCTGAGTCTTGTAGAAGATTAGAAGTTTGTTAAGTAAACAGTTTTGGGTGAACAAGAGATTTTTGGAAGGGAGAATAGTAAAACAAGTATGACTAAAGTAAACACAGCATACATATATAAAACAGCAGAACAAGGCTAGATTTTTTTTTCGAGCAAAGCTAATTACAGTTCATTACCGAAATATAAGAAATTATCTCACCAAGTCAATCAAATCACCTAGACACAAATAATCACACTAAAAATTACTGCTAAAAGTTTTTTTTTTTTTTAAAGCCAAAATCACAATAGAATTGTACAATCTGAAATTTAAACCCCTCCACATAGTTTGGAAGATATGACCACTGTTTCCAGGAAGGTTGATGGTTAAAAAAACAAATTAAGTTCCAATCGCTCAAAATAAAGTGAGGTGTAAGTTCTTAGTATTTGTAAACATTTACCTCTCCCATTCCCCGAGATTCTAACGCAAGAGCTTGAAAATCATGATTCATTTCATCCACAGATCAAACCTGTTGAATAACAAAAACAAAAATTAGTACAAAGAAATGTTTAAACAGACTTCTTCAACTATTTTATTATATTGCTGTTATGACTAATATTAGCATGATCTGAGAAAGGGAAGCACTGATTTCTCTATGGAGACAGGTTTTCCCACAGTTCATGACAGCAACCTACCTTAAAACCTATGGAAAAACATGAGGTCAAGGGTTCTTGAATTATTCTGTGTGCCAACAACTATGTGAAGGCAATAAAAAACAATTAAAGCCCAGAAACTGGAGAATAGTCTACCCTTTAAAGAAAGGAGTAGCACAGAGTAAGATTTTTTGTTTGGTGGTGGTTGTTTCTTTTTTTAAATGGCATTTCTGCCTGAGGGAAGGCCTGGATGTGGAAGAAGGGTCCTTAAGAACCCAGCCTTAATGGCCTGCAGAAATCAAAGGACAGAGTCTGGAGCAACCAGAGCTGCTGGAAAGTAAGAAAGGGAATCCTAGAGAGGACACACCATGTCCCGTGTATAAATTACACCGGGATTTTTAGATGACACCTGAACTGCACATATGTGAGACAGACTCTAAGGAGCTCACTTAAGGCTAAAAGAATTGAGCAGAAATTTCTACTGCTGACCACCACAAAAGTCACAGAAATTTGGAGGTTGAGTTCCAACAAAACCGAGCATTCGGCTAGGTGTGGTGGCTCATGACTATAACCCCAGCACTTTGGAAGACCAAGGTGGGCGGATAACTGGAGGTCAGGAGTTTGAGACCAGCCTGGCCAATATGGTGAAACCCCGTATCTACCAAAAACACAAAAAAATTAGCTGGGTGCAGTGGCACGCGCCTGTAGTCTCAGCTACTCGGGAGGCAGAAGAATTACTTCAACCTGGAACGCAGAGGTTACAGTGAGCCAAAAAAAAAAAAAAAAAAAAACCAAACACACACACACACACACCCCCCCTCCATATTCTCCAAAGAAACAACAGAACCTAGAGCATCTTTAATACATTAATCATGAAGTCTGGAATACAATCTGCAATTACTAGACAGGTGAGAAAAAAGGAAAATGTGACCTAATGGAAAAAGTCAATTAATAAAGAACCACTCCAAGATGACCCAGGTTAGAATTAGCAGACAGGAATCCTAAAGCAACTACCATAGCTGTGTTCAAAGATATAAAGATAAATATGCTCCTAAAGCATGAACAAATGCAAAACTTCAGCAGAGAAAGAAAAACTACAAAAATAACCAATTCTAAAACTGAAAAAAATATTTTAAAATTACACTGGATGCACTTAGCAGATTGTAAAACAACAAAAGAAAGGGTCAATGAACTTGAAAATGTATCAACAAGATTTCTAATTTGAAGAATGGGAAAATAGTGGGAAAAAAATGAACAGAGCTTCAGTGACCTATAGAACGTCAAAGCCAAATAAAACAGAGATGACTCTCTAAATTGAAAATGCTGTATTTAGGAAGCAAGAATCTAATTTAGGTGCAGTGGCTCATGTCTATAACCCCAGTACTTTGGGAGGCCAAGGTGGGTGGATTATTTGAGCCCAGGAGTTAAGAGATCAGCCTGGGCAACATGGCAAGACTCCATTTTTACAAGAAATTTCAAAATTAGCTTCGCACACGTTGGTGCATGCCTGTGGGCCCAGCTACTTGGGAGGCTAAGGTGGGAATATCGCTTGAGCCCGGGAGGTCAAGGCTACAGCCGTAAGCCATAATTGTGCCACTGTACTCCAGCCTGGGTGACAGAGCAAGACCCTGTCTCAAAAAAAAAAAAAAAAAAAAAAGATAAGACCTTATGTTCTCCATATGGTCCTATTTGCTCATAGGTAAAAACAATGTCTCTACAAAAAATACAAAAATCAGCCTGCTATGGCAGGGCATGCCTATGGCCATAGCTACTTGGGAGGCTGAGTCCCAAGTAGGATCGCCTGAAGTCCAGGAAGTCAAGGCTACAATGAGAAGTGAGTGTGCCACTGCACTCCTGCATGGGTAACAGAATGAAAGTCCCCCCGTCTCAAAAAAATAAAAAATAAAGGAAAATAATGTAATTTGGAGCATATGTATACACACTGGATGGTCCTGGGTATGTTTGAAGAACAAAGAGAAGACTGTAAGTTATTAGAGAAACGTTACAGACTGTTTTGACAGATTGGTACTAGAGCAGCTTTTGAGAACTGGCAAGCTCTGACTAGATGAAGCTGGTCTCAGAGTAGTGGCAAGTTGCTTCTGGTGCTACTAAGTAAAACAGGTCTCAGGGTTACAGTGGGCCATTTCTATAGCTGGAAATTAAATTTTCTTGTTGAAAATTTAATTTTTGGATCAGATGTTAAGTGCTCAAGTGCCTTTTTCCTCTGGACCCTAGATTCTGATTTAGTTGGGTGTTACAAGAATGACCTAATGTATAATTTTCACATGAACAATACCAAAAAGTACAACTTACATGTAACTGGAGTTCCAGGAATGAACAGGGTGGTAAAAATATTGAAGAAAACAATGGCCAGAATCCCCCCAAATTTGGTGAGAGTCAAATTTACAGATTCAAGAAATCCCGTGAACACCAGAGGATAGGTAAGAACAAACAATTCTACACCTACACTCATTATAAAAACACTGAAAATCAAAGATAAAAAGTCCTGAAGATTGCCAGAAAAAAAACAACACATTACATAGAGAGGAACAATGATATATGAATGACTGCTAACTTGGAACCAGAAATAACGGGGCCCAGAACATAAAGGACAAGATTTTAAAGTGCTGAAAGGAGTGCCAATCCAGACTTTTACACCTGGTGAAAATACCATCTTAGAATAAAGGCTGAAACTGTAATACTGTAAAATGTATTTTTGGCCTTTGTCCATTTCCTGGCAAAAAGCTCCTAAAACCCCTGGAATCGCTGGAGTAATGAGTGTCTTCTGCATGCTAATGAGCTGACTGACTGGGGGCCGGTTGCCAGAGGAACCATCCTTTTGATTATAGAGTTTGAACTTTCACTTCCCCCTCCCGCTTCCAGAGAGTGACTGAAAACTTAGTTATCACCAAGGATTTTAATGCCTATGTAATGAGGTGAGGCTTCTGCAAAATTCCAAAATGTCTGAATTCTGGGAGCTTACAGATAGCTGAACCCTTGGTGGTTCCTGGAGAGTGGCCTGCCCCATTCTCCCAAACCTCATCCTAATGCATCTCTTCCATCTGGCTATTCTCAACGGTATTCTTTGTAATATCCTTTATAATAAATGGGTAAATTTAAGTAAAGTGTTTCCCTGAGTTCTGTCAACTGTTCTAGCAAATTAATTGACCAAAGAAGGTTAGAAGGACACCTGATTTACAGCTGGTCAGTCAGAAATCTAGGTAACAACCTACGACTTGTGACTGGAATCTGAAGTGGAGGGACAGTCTTATAGGCCCAAGCCCTCAGTCTGTGGGAGCTGATGCTCTCTCCAGGGAGACAGGGTCAGAAATGAGTTAGAGGACATCCAGCTGGTGTCCACTGGAGAATTTGCTGCAGGACAGATTGCTTGATATAGCATATCAAGTAATACATGTGGGATCACAGAAGTGATCTGTATTGTAAGGGTACAGTAGGATAAACTGTGTTTTTATCCTACAGACTTACATTTGGTGTCAGAAGTGGGATTTGCTAATGTACAGCCCTGGCTCACAGAAACGTGGTTTGTTCAGACAACTTGGGGAGAGAAAAAGAAAAGAAATACGCTGTTTGGGAATAGAAAGAACGAAAGGATAGGGGATGAGAAACTTTTGATTCCTAGGTGACCACGTGGTCCCTCATGGTATGGAACAGGAGTTGGGCTGCGCTCAGTTACTAAGGGTAAAAGTTACCAATGGAATTTAAAGATGGACTTAACTTTCACAAAGTAAATGTCTAAGAAAACGCACACTAATTTTAAGGAGAAATATTCAATCCCTTGGTTACTGTTATCCGTAACAGCTAAAATAAAGTGCTAGATCGGACCTTAATACAAGACCAACCTCAGATTTCAGTGACTGAGCTTTGGCCAGCAGCCTTAAAGCTGCCCCCCAAAGAGAAAAATTATGCAGAGACCTCTAATCTAACAGCCATGGTTACTAAGAAGGTAGTCAATGTGGGGAAAAGGCAAACCCAAGAAAACTGTTAAAACCAGTATCTAAAGCAGAAAAAAAAGAAGAAAAGAAAAAAAAAGAAAAAAACAGTATCAGTAGTAGACACGAATTTTTCTCAAGAGTCAAAGTAAGCACTAGAGCTTTACCTTTTTTGCTTACTTTCAGGTTTTTATCAGTGGTCCAAATAGATGAGGTCATGTAAGTTAAAGAACCTCTGGATAATTTTGAGAGGTCTCTTAGCTCTTTGGATCCATTCTTACTGTTGGGATAAATCATGCCCCTAGTGTAGGAGTCAACATTTTAGGCTGTGCAGGCCATATGACCTCTGCTGCAACTACTCAATTATGCCCCTGCAGCACGAAAGCACCTATAGACAATACCAAAATGAATCAGCACAGATATGTGCCAATAAAACTTGATAAACTGTAAATTCTGAGTTTCATGTGTTTTTCATGTATCACAAATTTTTCTTCTAAAATTTTTTCCAACAATCAAAAAATGTAAAAACCATTCCCATAGAGTGGGCCATGCAAAAACAGGTGATGGGTCAGATTTGGCCTGCAGGCCACGGTTTGCAGACCTCTGCTCTCATTCATTTTCTCTCTTGACTGCTCCCCAAAACTCAAACACACAAAATCCACTTCCAAATACGAGTATACCGAAAGTTAAGCATCAGGGCTTTGCTTTCAACTTTTTCACTTATACTACTAGAGTTGTTTTTTTTTGTTTTTGTTTTTTTTGCCCCCAACAACTGGGGGTTACGGATCATATCTAAATGGAGGTGATTTTATTATCTTTCAATAATCAGGGTAGTCATAGTAAAAAGACTTAAAAAAAACCCCACCCCACCAGCATGATTTAAGCTTGGCTTTTCTGTTTAGTGTGTTACTATTTATTTCAATTATGAGAAAGAGAATGAAGGAGAAATTGGGCAATACAATGGGAGACAAATAACTTTTCCAACTTCCATGCAATAATCACCATACAGACTATAATAAAGTTGAAGGGATGGGGAGACAGTTGCCCATATGCCACTAAGTGGGACTCCTAAATTTCTGAAGTACGTCAATCTGCTTTCTCTTAAACAGCTACAAATGCTGGTGTCATCTGATGGCAATAAAAAAGTTAGAATTTGGATATAAATTTACTGACTTTATCCGAATGATTAAATCTTAGGGAGGAAAGATCTTTTCCAACAAGCAATAGAACCTACTAGCAACTGGTTATATACTATTTCACTGTTTCTTTGAAAAAAATGTATTCAGGAGTTATGGTACCATGTACTGCTTGGGGTATAAATTCTATCTTCAATTTTTTTTGGTCTGCATTATTAAGGCTCAAATCTCCAATATTATTTTCTTTAATAAATAATTAGAACTTACCAACACAGAAAACATATGACAGAAACTTTTCTTTGGCCAAGACCCAGTATAATCTTATATTTGAATTAAAAAGTCATTTTTGAGGTTATGACTGTTTCCTAGCAAAAGAAAAGAAATGACAGTGTCTTATTTTGCTCATTCTAAACTTTAACAATATTAGCTAATTTTTCTATAGGCAGATTGTTACTAGCGATGTGAGGAAAAATAGGTGAAGTACTCACATAACAACTTGATTTAACTCAGTGATAGTTTTCCTATTTACTAGTGCATAATCCAAAAAGTCAACAACTGAGCACAGTGCCTCATGCCTGTAATCCTAACACATTATGAGGCTATAGTGGGAGGATCGCTTGAGGCCAGGAATTCAAGACCATCCTTGGCAACACAGGGAGACCTATCTCTACAAAAAATTAAAAAATTAGCTAGGCATTATGGTGCACATCTGTGGTCTCAGCTACCCGAGAGGCTGAGATGAGAGGATCGCTTGAGCCCGGGAGGTTGAAGCTGCAGTGAGCCATGGTAAGAGTAAGACCCTGTCTTAAACAACAACAACAACAAAACAAAAGCCAAAAAATTGATAAATAGCTTGTGTAAAGAACCAAAACAAATGCATTAATATAGGACATTTACATCATTAAAAGTTATCTGTTTTGGCTGGGCAGGATGGGTCATGCCTGTAATCTCAGCACTTTGGGAGGCCAATATAGAAAGATCGCTTGAGCCCAGGAGTTTAACATAGTGAGACCCTGAGATATGGTTTGGATCTGTGTCCCCACCCAAATCTCATATCAAAATGTAAACCCCAGTGTTGGGGGTGGGGCCTACTGGAAGGTGACTAGATCATGGTGGCGGAGTTCTCATGAATGGATTATTGCCATCCCCTTGGTGCTATTCTTGTGATAGTTTTTCTAAGATCCAGTTGTTTAAAAAGTATGTAATACCTTCCCCCCTCTTCCTCCTGCTCCAGTCACATAAGAGGTGCCTGCTTTCGCTTCACCTTCTGTCATGATTCTAAGTTTCCTGAGGTCTCCCCAGAAGTAGAAGCCACTATGCTTTATGTACAGCCTGTAGAACCATGAGACAATTAAACCTCTTTTCTTTACAAATTACCCAGTCTCCCAAAAAATTTTTTTAAATTAAAAATATTATTTATTCCTGGATATCTGGTCCAACTTCTTACCATATACCTACCATTAAAAATAGGTGGGGAAAGCATTTGGAGATACAATATATGGTATTAAACCACTCTACCGCCACATGGTACTAATCACACTTTTATAATCTTGTAATTGTAAATTAACGCCATAGTAGAAATTAACCTCTGGGGTCAAAGGGATTAGTGACTGTCTTAGCTATGTCAAATGTTCAACATTTAATGAATAAAAAAAACATTTTATGCAATGTGAATTTCGATCATAAAATCAATTAGTATCTGGATAGTGACTATTTACATGTCTTCATATATTAATATACAATGCTCATTTTAACATAAGGACAATGAACAAGGCTTTGCCTTAGACTTTTTGTATTGCTGAAGACATTTACCAACACAAAATGACTAATGATTGCAACTTCACATGGGCACTACTTCTCCAAGTCTGTCATCTACAGCCTGGAGACTGTATTTATTACAAAGACAACAAAATTACATAAAAACCTAGTTGAGTCACAAATAAGTCAATACACAGAGTGACTTAAGCTTCTTAGGACATATTCTTCGTAATCATCCTCCTTGGACTGTTTTTTTTTTTGGGGGGGGGGACAAAGTCTCATTCTATCACCCAAGCTGGAGTACAATGGTGCATTCTCAGCAATCACAGCTCTCTGCATCCCCTCACCTCAGTCTCCGGGAGTATCTGGGACTAAAGGTGCACGCCACCACGCCTGGCTAATTTTTGTATTTTTTGTAGAGACAGGGGTCTCCCTATGTTGCCTAGGCTGATCTCAAACTCCTGGGCTCCAGCAGTCCTCCTGCCTCAGCCCCTCAAATTGTTAGGATTAAAGGTGTGAGCTACTGCACCCAGCTGGACTGATTTTAAAGAACATAATCGTTGAACATTAGTGGTATCTACGGCAAACAAACAAGTGCTGAATTCCTAAAGAGTACTTTCTTCTGCTCAGCAAATTAAATCACTTTATTGCAAATCTGCCAACAAAATTTTTTTGTTTAGCAACGCCTTTTCTCATTCACATGACAAAAGTAAATCTAAATTCAGGTTTAGGTATTTGTAGCAGACCATTAGCCTTCAAAGATTTAACAAAGTTTCTACTATTCACACCAACTCTCGGTAATTTCTTATTTTTCTGAGGGCATACATTGAATCATACAATTTTTTAGTGATGATGAACAAGTCACTTAGCTAGTGGATCAACCAAGGGCTACATCAACAGTCTGTTTTCTAGTTTGTCCAAATACTTTCATGGGGGAGTTACCTCTGCTTGCTTTATCAGCAAGGCAAAAAACTCTATAACAAAGAATAGTATTACTGACTCAACTATAATAAGAAAAAGTCAAGTTTTATGTTTTGAATGAAATTTGGCATAAAAATTAGTGTTGTCAACGTACAGACTTACAGAAATCAAAAATCTCCTTGCAAGACCCTATTAGCTCAAAGCTCAAATATTTTAATTAAATGTTTTATTCCAACCTCATCATTTAGACAAAACTACATATGTGCAAATATAAGACTTCTGTTCCATTAAAATTCTCTGAAAGGGGAATTACCATATATTTGGGCCTTTACAAAAGTCTCTCATCTTATAAGGCACTGTCTCAACTGACTTATTTGAAGAATCAAAATACTGCTGAAGAAAAGTTCCCTTATTTTGAAAAATATACTACTTAGAGAAGATCTACACACTAAACGGCCTCAATCTATGCTGGGTTTTGATGCTTTAGGTATTGCCTGAAAGAAGCAGGTCAAATAATTGAGATGGAAATGAAGATGACAAGCTTTAGAAAACTTTACATAACACAAAAAGTGGTTTTTTGGGGTTTGGTACTTTTTTTTTTTTTAAGGCAGGGTCTCACTATTGCCAAGGCTGGAGTGCAGTGGCATTCATCATGGCTCACTACAGCCTTGAACTTCTGGGCTCAAGTGATCCTTCTACTCAGTATCCTAAGGAGCTGGGGCTACAAGTGCATACCACTACGCCCAACTAATTTTTGCATTTTTTGTAGAGACAGGGTTTTGCCATGTTGCCCAGGCTGGTCTTGAACTCCTGAACTCAAGCAATCTGCACCTTGCCTTGGCCTCCCAAAATGCTAGGATTACAGGCATGACCAAACGCGCCTGGCTTAAAAAGTGGTTCTAAAGTCAAAGATACATTATAATTTTTTTTTTAAGAGACAGGGTCTTGCTCTGTTGCCCAACATGGAGCACAGTGACGTAATCAGGGTTCACTGTAGCCTTGACCTCCCAGGCTCAAAAGAACCTCACATCTCAGCCTTCTGAGTAACTCGGACCACAGGTGCCACCAGGCCTGGCTAAATTTTGGGTGCACGTGTGTGTGGTACAGATGGGGTCTCACGATGTTGCCCAGGCCTATTTTGAACTCCTGAGCTCAAGGAATCCTTCCACCTCGGCCTCCCAAAGTGCTGGGATTACAGGCATGAGTCACTACACCTGGCCTAGAATTCCTGAATTATTTTGTTATTTAAAATGTGACATCATCCTAATAGTGGAGTAAGACATTATATGACTCATAATGTAATGTAATATGAAACAGTACCACCACATATGAAGAACTGCCTTCAAAAAACATTAAGCTTCAATCTAATATTATAATAAAACTACTGATCCAAATACATATTTATGACATAAAATTTTGAAAGGGGGGAAGCAGATTACATAGACTGTGGTATAGGACTAAATGTCAAAAAAAACTGTGTAAGCCTTGTTTGAATCCTGCTTCTCACAAACCAGCTATAAAGACCTTTTTGAGAAAAATTAGAGAAACTCAAATATAGAATGAGTATTAGATAACAGTAAGGAATTCTATTAGTTACGATACTAGCAAGAGGATTGGGTTTGTTTTTTGTTAAGTCCTCATCAGTGAGAGCATTTATGCTTGAAACGGCATATTGCTTGGGATTTACTTTGAAATACTCCTTCAAAAAGTAAAATATGGGTATAAATAAGATTTCACACAATGTTGCATACGGATGGTAGCTCTCAAGGGTTCACAATACTTACTATTCTCTCTACGTGTTTGAAAGCTTCCATAATAAAAATGCTAGGTGGTTAGAAAAAAATAAAGTTTAATAAAATACATATAGTTGTCTGACAGAAAGCCACATAAGGCAGGTATGGTATCTAAGCTGGGCCTTGAAGGTCAGTTACACAATTTGGACAAAAATTGTTTTAAAACATTTATAAACTGCAATTTTATAAAGGGGGTTACTCTTTATTCACTTAGGGTCCAAGCCTTCATATAAACTTAATTTCACTTATTACTTCCTCAACCATACTTTTGACTAGTGTATGAAAATGTTTCCTAAAAACTTATTTCCAAATGGGTACAAATTTTAGAGACTAATTTTTAATCAGACAACCTTCCCCCAAAGAGAATAACAACAGAAATTTTATTGAGCGCCCCATTTTATGCCACAAATTGTACCAGGCACATTATATATAATTCTCACTACAATCCAGCAAAGTAGATACTGTATCATTACTTTGCCAATTTCCCTACCCTAATATACAAAGCTACTAAAATGGTAGAGAACATAATACTACCAAAACTCCAAAGCCCCTGCTCTTTCCCATACCAACCAAGCATAAGCCATCACTCAAGCTAATGCCAATTACACTACTCTCCAAAAGCCGTGGTGGCTCATGCCTGTAATCCCAGCACTTTAGGAGGCTGAGGCAGGTGGATCACCTGAGCTCAGAAATTCGACACCAGCCTGGCCAACATGGTAAAATCCCGTCTCTTAAAAATACAAAAATCAGCCGGGTGGGGTGGTGTGTGCCTGTAATCTCAGCTACTTGAGAGGCTGAGGCAAGAGAATCGCCTGAATCCCGGAGGCGAAGGTTGCAGTGAGCCAAGATTGCGCCACTGCACTCCAGCCTGGGTGACAGAGCAAGATTCCGTTTCAAAAATAAAACAAAACAAAACAAAAACACCTGGACAACTCTTTACCATTTATCCCTTCATGTGCAAATCCCACAAATCCCTCAAAGTCTGGCTCAAATGCAGCTTTCCCTAAAACTGACCCCATACAATCTTTCTCTTAATTCACATGGAATTTAACTGGTATGTTGCCGTATTACTAATATATCTTGCCCATTAAATTTTAAAACTTCTCTAAATCATAACTAGGAAAGAAAAAAATTCCACACAATCTCATCAACTGTTCTGGT